CTTTCCGCATTGAAAACTTATAATCAGAGAAAAGCCTGTTTAATACCAAAAAAATATTGACATTAAGAGCTTGTCGAACGACCTCTTCTTCAGTTACTATAAAATCATTGACAAACATTGGTTCTTTGAATTTCCTTTCCCGATCCAATTCATCAAAGCTGTACGCGTTTACATTATCGAAAAAATTCTCCCAAAGCATTACCTTTCTTGGTGGTTTGCCACCTGCCCTCGTAGTAGTCTTTGAGGTAGTACCATATGGGGAATAACCAATATGAGGTGGAGGATATGATAACACCTCTTCCAGCCTGAGAGCTGAATGTGGCAACTTTACAATAATATTAATGTGCCTCTGCAGAGGGGAGCTGGGAAAATATTCCGATATTTTTCTTGTTGGGAGGAGTTCATCTTTGTCCAAAAGTAAAAGGTTGCTCAGCTGTTCATCATCATCATCATGAATTTTCACTTTCCATAGCCTGAGCTTATTTGCATTAACATTAATGAAATCATTTTCCTTCTTAATTAATTTTTTAAGATGACCTACAAGCTGTTCCCTATTAATATCAATGGGGAAAGCGTTTGCAAGTCTTGTACTTCCTTCGACAAGGCAAATAAGAGTAATAATGGATTGGCGGCATTTTTTTGATGATGGCTTAACGTTTTCTTTTTCATATTCCTCGATCACTCCCTGCCAGAATGTTTGCAAATCTTTCTTACGTTGCAAACGTTCTGTACTTACCTATATGAGAAAGAGATTGTTAGTAGTGCACAACATTTTATTTAGTGGTACCATCTAGCACTGCTTAAAATACCCAATGGGTATTCTCAAAGAAGCAGTGCTAGATGTGAAAGAAGGTACATAACCAGTTTTTCATCCAAAACTGGCAGACTTTACCAACGACAAAGGGAGGACGCCTGAATTGAGAGCTTGGGTTGGTTACCAAACGAACGAATCCAGTAATTCTCCTAAGCCAATGCGCCGTGAAGCGGTTCGACTAGGAGTTACCCTCCCTTTGCAAAACAAAAAACAACGCACCTTTGCCTTTAAAGAATCAAGAATTTCTTTATTCAAGTTAAGTTTTCCCATTTCTCGTAGGAAATTTGTAGCCCAGGAGTTGTCAAGATCTCCCCAGAAACTACTTGAAAACGACGTTTTAACAATAACATCACGGTATTGGGTCAAGAACCCATGATATGAAGGCTTTCCCTTTCTCTCCCTTAGATAGGAAGTAATGGCTAGAAGTCAAAAGGTAGTAAGAAGAAGGAGGTTTATAAGTTGAAATACGTTTTACAAAACTTACCATCTTGGCCAAGGTAAGTTTCGTTTGTTTTGGTTGTTTCGGGTGTATTCATATTCATGTTGTTAATAAAGTGGATTTAGTTTTTTATTTTTCATGTAAAAAAAATAAAGGAAAAGTGGAGCTATTTATATTTACTTTGGTTTAATGCAATGTAAGCGAAATTATTTATGGTAGTCTAATTTTCGCTACACAGGATTATTATCGTTAAGTGAAGATACAGTTAAACTCCGATATAACGAATAACGAATTGTTGGGATCCATATGAAATCATTGAAAAATATCGTTATATCAAGAGTCGAGGTCTGACTGTATTTGGAAATAAAATAAAAGCGGCACTTTAATTACTTTATATTTATTTTCTTATATATTTATTTTCTTATAAACTATCTTAAAAATCCGATAGTAAGTAAATTAAACTACCTGCTTAATAATCAGTAATATCAGAAAGAAATAAGCTAAATACTCGCGATATCAAATTATACCGATATTTATATGTGAGAAAGTAAAATTTTATAGTTTTTAATATATATCAGTATATATCAAATATTGGTCTACCGAGTCTGTAATTGGAAATAAAATAAAAGCGGCACTTTAATTACCTTATATTTATTTCCTTATAACAATCCGATAGTAGGTAAATTAAACTATCTGCTTGATAATCAGTCAAATCAGACAGAAATAAGCTCGATAGTAGATTAAATTAAATTCTCTGCTTAATAATCATTCATATCAGACAAAAATAATCTCGAGATAAATACTCTGAAAAATATACGCGTTTGAAAATCCGATAGTAGGTAAATTGTAAATTGAGCCATCTGCTTAATAAAATAACCTATATACGCATTTGAACATCCGACAGTAGCGGGTAAATTAAATTAAGCTATCTGCTTAATAAATTCCCAGTAGTATCAGTTTACTTTTTAACCTTTTTTGGCTTAAAATACGCGCCTAAAAGCATGTTTAGTAATCGAATCATTCCTGTTACTCTTCCTCATTTTCCTCTTTTTGGTTCACTAGACTCAGATATTTTTAAGGAATACCCTTTATTGCTTAAAATACGCGCCTGAAAGTCCGACAGTAGAAAAATTAAGATTCACTCATTATTATAATATTTTAAACACGAAAATGAAATAAGCTATCGTGCCTGAAAGTCAGCAGTAGAAGTCTTAATTTTTTTTAGGGCCAGATGTATCAGTTACTAGTTGATATTTACTCTTAAACAAGTAAAAAAAAAAAACTCTCCCACAACGAACCAAAAAAATCTTACAATTCAAACATAATTTACAAACTTTTCTTTCTTTTATTCATAAAATTTCTCTTTTTGTTATTACTGTAACAACATTAAGAAAAAACAAACAACAGGATTATGCCGGTAAGCAACCAGATATAATACTATTTAAACTTATTTTACTATAATGACATACTAAATATTAAAGATATGTAATTACCTAATAAAAAACATCAAACACGGTCTACTACGAAAACTAATATAAAACATACGGCATGACTTGGTTATTTCTAGCAGGTACTAAATAACCTAATATTTAATTCAGATAATTCGGAATCTAGTTGCCATCAAACAAATCGCAAACCCGAAAAAAATAGAAACCGATCATCAAATAATACCGAACAAGCAATTCCTTCAGATAATTCAAACCAGCAGAAAGGTCCACCGGAAGAGAAATAACTGAATAAACGGATAATAATTCAAAAAGCAAGGCACGTCTGCCGCCAAAAAAAAACCGTAAGTCCATTAAAAAACATCAGATAACAGAAAGTATTACATTTAGTAGTACTGAGAAAGCATCCGATGGTTCGGACGAACGGAGAAATCAAAATTTATTGATGTTGGTTCATCTTCCGCAAAAACATAACAGTACAGCTACCACCGCTCGATAGTGACCTTTAATGGCGTGTCGTTCGACGAACAACATGAAGGCACGAGACGACGACGAAGGTCTTGAAATTGAAGAGTTTATTGCGTTCTTCATTACCGGCGTACATAACGACCAGATATTTACCGTGCGATCCATGCCGGAAGATGCAAAGAAGTCTCCGGATAGATGCACATCCTAAAGAATTAAATTCTTATAAGAATACATCTAAAAAGAAATGTTTTTAATGATAAAGAAAGAAAACGTTACAATGCTTAACGGCGCTTCACGATGGCCGCACTCCCGGCGAAAATAGTGACGGTCTGCATAGTATCGATCCTCCATAAACGTATGGAGAGATCTTTACTTGCAGAAAAAAGTAAAGATGGATCTCTAGGGTGGGACTTCATCTCATGTATCTCCTATATATATTATTAAAAATTTTAAACTTTATAAAGATTCATTATAATGTTTAATAAGATAAAGTCGAACTTACACCTCCATGCCCTTGGAGGGTCTATGAGTATAAAATTTAACGAAATATTTAGTCATACAAGCAGTTTATCTTTAATTAAATCAATTCGTAATATAAAAATGTTATTATACCTTTGTGACAGACCCAGCCGACGTATCTATAATAATTTTAATAACTGCAGTGAATCCTGCCACGACGCACCTGATATTGGGTCGATAGACCATGTACAGCAATAAAAATCTTGCTGTTCCTGCATATAAAAAAAAGTTATTATTTAATATACTAAAACTACGAAAAAAAAAAAAAAATGCACAAGTTTAAACATTTACATTCTCATCAATGTATTTTTGTGCAATATTTAAAGCTATTACTCGATTATTGTAATTCGATCAAGAATGTACATAATTTGAAATTATTAACGTATTTACTTATCCTGTGAATTTATTCTTTTTGAATTCCATAATTTACATTGTATAGCAGTTTTAATTTATGTTAACTTAGACTCGCAAAAGATAAACAAGCTTATTCATGTGATAAAGGAATGGCCTCACTTGAATGATTATATATATACCCATTACCGTGCTTTATAGAATTGCGCCGAAGTGTATTATAATAAGTTTGTTTTTTAAAATATTATTGTAGTAAACCAAAGTATCGTTAAAGAACGAGTTAACTGTAGTTTTCTAAATAGTTTCTAAACGTGAATAGCGGCGAAGTTTCATCAATAAATCACATCAAACGATAAGAGTGGGCTTTACGTCAGTACCAGATGATATATGTTCGTATAAAGTCAAAGAAAAGAATCTGATGATAGGATCGAAATAACAGAGAATATTAAAATTTTATTATTTAATAATATCAAAGATCAAGTGAATAAATTGAAAGTACTTGAGATGGAGCAAGTATAATACTTGATATACACTTGTATGCTCTCGTTCTTACAAATAAGCTTTCTGATTTCATTATAGGAAATTTTTATGAAATAGATACTTACGGACGACAAAAACAAGAAAATATTTGATATTAAATTTTATTAAATTGAATTTAACGAATCAAATTTTCATCGCCTAATTTTTTTTAAAGAAAAAATCGTCAAAGGAAATGCGTAATTTCATCACCTATGTAATAGAGGAATTGGAAAGGTTTTTATTTTAAATTTTATTGAACGAACATATATTACTATTAATGTTATATTATTACTGACGCTCTTATTAAATAACAAAAATTCATTTTGTAATATTTTCTTTAATAAAGTTTCTTTCTATAAATTTATTCATGTTTTATTAATGATAGAAATTATACATGATTTAAAAAAAAAAAATATGTATATTTATGAAAAATCATTACTCTAAGTTACCATCTAACGAAATGAGTGGGACACTAAATTGAATAAAAACAAAAAAAAAATTTAGTCTTTTATATTACAAAAATATAAAATAAAAATTATAAAAGAAATTATTTTGATTCATACCTCGTAACCAGATGGATTTTTTTCCTAAAGGAAAAAAAAGGAAAAAAAGAATTTTTTTACAAATTAGTAAAATTAGTAAATCAACAATTTGATCCCTTTTTTTTTTTGAATAACTAAAAAATAATTTTTTACTTACCAAATATTTTTGATGATAATCTTCAGCATCATACCAATCAGCTGCTTCAACAATTTCAGTAACAATTTTATTTCCACTATACAAATTTTTTTCATTATTAAGTTTTTCTTGTATTTGTTCAGTAACCTTTTCCGCTATTTCTTTTTGTTCTGATGAATGATAAAATATCGCACTACGATATTGAGTTCCAACATCAGGACCTTGTCTATTTGCGGTAGTTGGATCATGAGTTTTATAAAAAAATTCCACGAGAGTCTCGTATGATGTTTTCGTAGGATCAAATTCGATTTGACATGCTTCTGCATGTCCTGAATTTCCACTACATACCTTGAATATACGAATAAAATTAGATGAAATGTAACAATAATAATAATTATAATAATTAACGCATTATGATATAAATTAACATACTTCTCTATATCTTGGATTTGCAGTTGCACCACCAATATATCCAACACGAGTATTAATATTATCAAAATGTTTCTTAAAAATATGTTCAACGCCCCTAATAATTATTAAATAAATAAATAATATATTATAATTAATTTAAACATATTTAACCTTATATTTTAAATTTTTAATTATTACTTTACCAAAAACATCCAGCAGCGAACGTCGCTTTTTCAAGATTAGACATTTTATTATTTATTTTTGAAAAATAATTTACAAAAGATGATCTATTATTATTAAAAGTAGCCGATTGGTTTAACTTAAAAAATCGGAACATAAACCAAGCTAATATATTTCTTGTAAATCGAGGAGACAGATATGTTGTATGGAAAATGTTTAAAAACGGGCATATATATATATAAATTATGACTATCAATTTTTTTTTTTTTTTTAAGGTTCAACTCTTAAACTCTTAATATATCATAATAAATAATATATCATGATTATATATGTTGATCCTATTCGTAATATGAAATTTACTAATTTAGTAATAACTCTTAATCCTATATGACTTATAAATATATAATTAGACCAAATTAATGATTTGAAACAACTTGAGTTATGACCAAAATTAGTTTAACTGATGATCCGTCAATTGACGATCTAAAAATAATTCTTATACGATAAATTTCTGAAAAGAATATTTATTTAACCTTCTGAAATGAATTATTTTATGTAATAAATATAAACTAATTTACATTCTGTATTTGCCTCCGAAATAAATCGCATGGCAAGGGTTGGGAATTGCATTGTACCGTACTAGTACTGTACGTATATACTGTACTACATAGTAGATTTTATACTTCAAATACATTTTAAATAATAAATTCCTTTTTACAACTAAATTGATAATTATTTAATTTTATTTAAATAAACAAAATATATTATATAAAATGTATACTATATATTATATAAGCATATAATAATATAATAGTATAATACGTAGTTACGACGTTACGTACTACGTACTGTAACACTATAATTGCGTATGGCCGTTCACCATATATCGATATTCGCTATATGCCGATTGTACCGTTAAATGGCTCCATTGTTTTAAATTTTGGGTAACCATTAAATATACGTCTCAATTTTCAATAATTTATCGACTATGAAGTACTAATAATAAAGATAATGAGAAATATTAAAAAAGACCAATTAGAACTTGAATTAATTTATCGTAAGAATTAACATCATAACAGATAATCATATATAATCATATTATTTACAATTTTTCACTTAATTATGGTAGTACCAAATTATTTTGTATCTGGAATACTTATTAAACTTTGATATTTCAGAAATTGAATGGATCATACTTTTAACAATATTTATTTACGTAATCACTTGTTCAAATAATTTATCCATTTTCGCGCTGTTTATATTTTTGAAAATTGTTACCGACATATTATTCGGGTGTTATAGCAATTTTTACTTCCGTTTTGTGTTTAACACGTCGACTTTGAATAAAGTATGTGCGAATTTTTAATGTAAAATTTTTAGGTGAAATTAAGCGTGTAATTCACTTAAATTATATTTTCATTTAAGTAAATTAATTAATTGTCAATATTATTACAATGAATGAGATTGACCCTATTTTACATCGTTATAATATACATTTAGCAATAAAATGAAGTTAATTGTAAGAAAAAATACACATGAAATAAATAAATTATATTTTAGATTTTCTATATTTTTGTATTTATAAAAATGGATTATTCTAGAGGTTTATCAGAATTAGAATCAATAGCTATTTTATCACCTTGTCTCTTCATCCACCAAGCGCAAATAAGAGTTAATATTGCTATCATAAACATCCAAATATATTGTAATACGTTTATATAAAGAAATGATTTCTCAACTGATGATACTTTGAAAACAATAATAATACGAATTGGAACCGTAGAAAGTAACCCAAATCCCCATATGGCTGTCATAATGGTAAATCCACGTCGAAAATATTGGTAAGAAGCCCAATATCTATCCCAACGTACATCAATTGGTTCATCTTCCGTTAAACCTCGAAGGTTAACTTTTGAACTTGAATAACCGAGGGTTCCACCTGTTGCCATTTCTTTAAGTAAATGGAATGCAAATGGTCGCATTTTAAAGGTACCAATTTTTATTGGAATTAAACTAATGATAAATGCTAAACTAATGATAGACGAAACCACAGATTTTCGTAATAACTGAATCTTTGGATCGTTATTTATCACTGACGCTATAGCGCTGCTAAGAAAACTTATTATTATTAATATTCCTATAATGTCAACACGCCTTTTACTTATAAGTCCGTATATAGCCATAGCAAGTGGTGGGATACCTGATATGAGCAATGCCCATATTTCTGGTATATAATTGTTAAGAGTATAATAAAGAATAAATGGGAGAAAAATTTGTAAAAATAACATTAATACGACCCTTAAAATAATTTTTACTTTGTCTTGTCTAGTTATTTTATTTTTTGACCCATTTTGTGAGGTATGTTGTGATATGGAAGAAGTGGTTTGTCCATTTTCATCCGACATGATTTTAGGCTTTTTTTTTTTATAGTAAGAAATTATGCAGAGATTATGACAGATTTTTATTTTTTTTTTTTAAAACGAAATTATTTTTTTTTTTTTTTAATAAGAGAAGAATTTGAAGTGTTGGTTACTTATTTAAAACCTGAGAAACTATAAAAAACTTTTTTTACCAAAATTGTATTAAAAAAGAAAACAAAGTTTTTTTTGTTTGTCATTAATTGGAAGATCTGATCGTACAATAAAGTTTTTCTGTTTAGAAAGTTTCATTGTTCAAACATTTTAAATTTTTCATCGATCATGCCTAATAATAATCTTAGTACTAATGTACTTTAATGAGAAAGTCATTTTATATACAGTATATGTATATATATTATTATTAATTGGTTTTATTATTATAATTATTATTACTTTTACTAATATTGCGTTCAAATTTTATTAAAAAAGTGTTATGCATGGGTAAAAATAGTTATGTCAAAAAAAATTATAATGAAAAAATCTATTGGTCTCTACTTTAAAAAAAAAGGTGGCCAAAAAATTAATATTATATTTTGACAAAATTTACGATAATACCAAGAAAGCCAAGATATTTATAATTTATTATGTAACGAGAAAAGGGTTAAGAACTCATGTTATTGCTTATCGATTCGTTCCTGTAACAAGTGAAAAAATAATTTACATGTAATGCATAAAGAAAAAAGAAATAATATAATCAACTTTTCATAGTCTCCTTAATATGTCAATCCGGATGATATCTTAATACGGTTTTCTATATCCCGAAACCCGTTTATCCGTCTGATTATCCATACGGATAATCAGATTATCCGGATAGTTTAACGGATTCTATTATTGGTATGATAGTCACGAGTAAGGATTAAATCATCTGACTCGACTCAACAAATCCTAATTACAGCCAGAATTAAGTGATTTTTGTTTTTTTGGACGTTTTTGTGCAAATTTTTTTTTTACGGAAAATTATTTCCTTTTTTGGGGCCCGTTAAAGCGGGTAGAATCACGTGATTTAAAATTATTATGATTTGATAAATTTTTTATAAACTAAAATTAAAGTGAACTTGAAAATCATTAAATAAGTGTATTTTGGCCTGCTCCACAAGTTTACTTNAATACGCATACTTAGGTGATTTGGGCTTAAGTAAATCTGCAACTGAATTTACAGATGATGATAATAACAATGAGAATTATAGCTGTCTCTTATACACATCTAGATGTGTATAAGAGACAGGTTCTAAACCTCATTTTGTGCTCTAAGTAAACTTGCAGAACAGGTCAAAATGCACTTAGTATATGTTTATTTGGAAGGTTTTATATATAATAAAGAGTTTTATTTAAAAAAAAGAAAAATTTCGAAAGTCACGTGATTCTACCCTGCTTTAACGGTCCCCCTTTTTTGGAAATTTGTGTTAACTCACGTGACATTTATCGGATTTCCATTGCACAATGTTTACTTACCCATTTTTCGGATTATTCATAATAGTAGGTCTTCTGTATGAAATATTTTTTTGATATTATATATTTATATTTATTAATTATTGTGCTTAACAGCGATTATTATCTAATCGATTGGTAAAGATGTTAAGAAAAACTTATTAATATATCCTATATGTATAATTCTTTATTCTGTGTAACGCATAGTATATTATTATTTTTGAACTATTTAAAAGAAAAAAAAAATACCTTTAACCTTTGAGAGTAAATTAAATAAGCGATAACTAACAGTGTTTCCATCTGAGAAAATGATTATGTCTCATATTTGCGCTGCGCTGATGTAATCATGTATGCACTTACATACGCTAAAAAACACTTAATCTCATTTACATTATTTTTTAGCAAGTGACACTCAATAGATCATTTGCATTATTTGATATTCATAATGATACACAAACAATTTGAATTAAAAAAAAAGAAAACGATGAAAAAAAAATAAGTGAAGTTTATGAACGAGAAAAATTATAAATAATTCAGAAAAAACAAAAAATTTGCTATATCACATTATGAATACACCATTTGTATACGTGTGAAGTAATAATGACATGTGATTCAAAATGATCGGAACGGAGTATGATAAGCTTATTTTTACATTATGTTTTCATTCTATCCAAAACTGAAGGAAGAGTTGCTTATAAATACTATAGCAAATTTTGTATATAAACATAATTTTGGTAAGGATCCTATTATTGTACTTTATCAATACATTTTTATTATAGCGCAAAATAAATTTCAATGTTAAGAATAAATAAATAAAAAAGAAAAGAATCGATTTTTTGGCATTAGAATGAAAGTGTTTGGGATGACAAAGACCAAAGAGCAAAGGGACTTCCTGAAAATGTTTTAAATTTTGAGTTTGGTTATATTTTTAACCATTTTTTTTTTTTTTTTTAGAAATCAAAATGTCGAGTTTGACAAATTATGAAATAACAGAATGTTTAAAATTTTAATTTGACATCATGCTTTTTATTAGTTAAGAACTAATTGTAAATAAAGAGAAAGTCATAAACTAAAATAATCAAATAGGCGTATTAATACATCTTTGTATTAAAATTTTAATATTGATCTATATCTTACTTATTTTGGAAGTTATATGCAAATGACTTCGATGATTTGTTGGCTACCTTTTCACTTTGTATTATTTTAAGTTCTACTACGAAAGTTATCATACGTACGCCATGCATACGTAACTGTTTTAACTTTTTAAGTAACAAGAATCATGTTAATCAATTCTTTATAACTTTATGTCACGTTGTGCTTGTTTCACAGCATGTGACGCCTCTATAGAATTCTTTGTTGGAGTTTTTGTTAAAAGTCTATTCGAAATCTTTTCCATGTTACAGTTCTAGATTGATTATTTAGAATTTCTTGGCACGATTCTTATAATAGAAACTTCTACGGATATTATATTATTATGGAATTTTCTGAGTTCGGATTAAAAATTCCTTGCTTAAAAGAAAACATATATATTTAGGCTTTTTTGTCTCAAGCAAAAGAGCTAAATTATTTTTTTTAAAAAAAAAAATTAACGATGGACCAATTATCAGACAACACATCTTTAGGCATGCCAACACAAACCACAATTAAACACAATCGTAAACGTAAAACGAAAATATTATGCAGCGAATGTAATCAAAGAAGAGAACTTTTAGAAGAAAATCATCATATTTGCGGCGTTTGTTACAAAGCGAAATTATTATATATACCAAGTGGAAACAAAGTTATTGATGATTTTATCATGCATACACTAACTAGTAGTAGTAAATTAGCTGGAAAAATGGTGTTCGTGCCTTATAACCAATTTAAAGATGTAAAATTTATTGCTAAGGGAGGTTTTAGTGAAGTTTATAAGGCTATTTGGATTGATGGTCCAGTAATAAATAATTGGAATAAGAAAAAACAAAGTTTTTATAAACCCGAATATAATAAAAATTATGAAGTTGTTCTTAAAAAGCTTAATAATTCTAAAGAAATCACATCTAAGGCGTTAAATGAGGTGATTACAATTATTTATTAACCTGACTTTGAATTAAGTAATTAATAAACTTTTTTATTATTTAGCTCAAGATATTTCATGAATTTTATTTAAATTGGAAAAAAAAGAACAATTATGAAATATACAATCAAGTTAGTAAATATTTTGGAATTACTCAAGAACCCGTTACCAAAGATATCATGATTATTATGCCATATTATAAATCAGGTGATTTAATAAACTACTTAACTAATGATTTCTATAGTATTGAATGGCATAGTAAGTTAAAGAGGTTAAAAGAAATAATAAATGGACTTGTTAATATACATAGTGTAAATATTTTACATAGAGACTTTCATAGTGGAAATATCTTTTTTAACGAAAAAAAATACGCATACTTAGGTGATTTGGGCTTAAGTAAATCTGCAACTGAATTTACAGATGATGATAATAACAATGAGAATTATGGTATAATTCCTTATATGGCACCAGAGATTTTTAAAGGACAAAAATATACCAAAGAATCAGACATATATAGTTTTGGAATGATTATGTGGGAATTTATGACAGGTAGAAGACCTTTTTGGAATAGAAGTCATGATGCAGAACTTATAATAGAAATATGTTGTGGTTTAAGACCACCAATTGTTACAAATGCGCCCGAAGGATATATTGAATTAATGAAAGAATGCTGGAATTCAGGTCCTAATAAAAGACCAGAAGCTACTGATATATATAATAGAATTTCTAGAATGGGCAGTAAATGTGAAATTAAGAAATCATCAGAAATTGGACCAGTAACAACAAATAATCCAGGTGCTATTTATAGGAGTAGACCTTTGAGTGGTATAATTCAATCTGCAATGTTTACAATGTCTACAAGAAGTTTAAGAAGCGAGTCTATAACTGCAGAAGTTGGTAAATATAGTATTAAATATTTCGTTTTAATCAAAAAAAAATAATAATAATACTCTACTTCATTATTATTTAGATTTATTTCATTGTCATCAAAAAAACGATATAACTTTTAATGGTAATTATTCGTTTAAAATTATTAACTAATATAATTTTAAGTAATATTAATAAGTTTATTCTTTAAGATAAAAGAAAGTTTGACGACAATCAAATTGAAAACAGTTTTAATGGAGGTATGATAAAAGACAAAATTTTTATATATAAACAAACGTCATTCAATATTTACCAATTAAATAATAAAATATTTCCAGACAAAATTATTAAAAAGATTAAATTAATCGAAAATGAAAATAATGGTAAAAATATTTTATGTATTTTCAATAAATATAATTTATGTTTTAATTTATTTATTTTTCGTTTTCATTTATTTAGATTATATTACGCAAGAATTTGAATTGGATATAGATATAAATTCTGAACAATGTATCATTGACAAAAGTAAGTAAAAATATTATATTTTTAAAAACTATGTTCTTAATATCCTAATTTCTTTTTAAATTACAAATATAGGTTATATTACACAAGAAATTGATTTTGATATTTGAATCTCGGTATTTTCCAAAACTTATTAGAGTCCAATATTTACACTTTTCTTTTTAATAATATTAGATATATATATTAATTTTAGTTGAACATTATATAAATTATATATAGAAAATAAATTTATTGATATTTAAATAAAGTAAGCTTAAAAAATTTAATACAAAAAATATGATAAAAAATTAACTTATATAGTGGTAGAATCAAATGTATAATTTGATGTTAAGTCGTGCGGTGATTTGAATTTCCTGAAATTTTAGCACTATAAAGAAATATAGAATGTTAGGAAATTATTTAAATTATTTCGTTATATAAGTTAACATATATATATACAATATATTTTTTTTTTACAAAGATATGACCATCGGAGAAAAAAAATTTAAAAATATTTAAAATATTCGATCTTAAATTTTTTGGTTGCATTTTCTTTATATTTCTTGACCACTTTGTTTACATTATATCATTTCAAATCTTTGAATCACTTCATTGCTTCCCTTGAAAATAGATTTAATTTTAAAAAGTTCATATATTATATTAGAAATCGATCTATCCCGATTCACGATCTTTAGAAGTTATAAATTTAAAAATTATACGTTATCTAATTAAATAATTATTAATTATTAATTATTAATTAATTAATTCATGAATAAAGAATCAAAATCAGCAATTTTCTTATTCATGAAAGCTACGAATCAGAAAAAAGTAAAAAATTTAATTTTTTTTGGAAATTCTAATTGGATAGAATTGATCAACTTGGAAAACTTGAGAATGTTTTGAAAATTTATAATATCGGTTTCAAGTTAGATGTTTAGCAGTTAGATGTTAACGATATTAACTAAGTAATTAAATCTACCAATAATAGATCAAATTTATATTATTGGGTTGTGGGAATCTAATTTATAGTTTCGGTCAGGCGATTGTCAATCCGAAATTAATTCTGGCTGAAATTATAATTTGGGCGGAATTAAAATTTTAATTAATTAACTCTGCTGCCCACACTTAATAGTATTGGCCCAAGCTAAACATAGTGCTGGACAAAATTACTGAAAAATCGGATTAATCCGTCAAAAATAATCGGATACGGATAATTCCGGATCGATAACTCCCATTCTAAATATCGACAGAAGTTAAATTGGTTATTAACAATAAAAAGAAAATAAAATGTTATGAATGACTTGACTACATAATCACAAAAAAAAAATGAGGTTCCTTTTATTTTCATTATCGGCAAATCTGAACATAAAAAATAGATTGAACTATCTTATAATAAAATATTCATAGTAAACAAAAACAAAGATAAATGGATAATTATATTTAATAATTATCATTGAACATAAACAAATTCATAAATTATAAAAATTCTTTATTTAGATTTAATTAAGTAAAACATACTACCGTATATTGCGGGCCATAGCACCCCGGGTATGATACAAATTTTGGAGGGTTGACCTTGTACTTATTTCAAAAGCTTGTATAATAATCAGAAAATTATTTACATATAATTTCTGGGCAATATTTGATTCTCTAAATAATAAAATCGATAGAAAAAGCTTTTTTCACGTAAAAAAAGGGGGAGATACTATATAATATATATGGGTACTATGGCCCACAAATATACGGTAAATAATTTAAATTCTATGAAATTGCCATTATTGCATTAATATGCTTGTGCTACTATAGCATTGGACAATTATAAATCAGTGATTGGATGTTAAAAAGTACAAAGGAATAGTTTGTTTCAAGTTACGTTCGAGGTTTAACTTTTGATGCAAAGTTAATGAATTTCTACGTCTCAATTCAGTTACATCAAAATCAAATCCATAAATTTCCTTATTCAATATATTTAAAATTAAAGAATTTGGTAATAATTTACATGTAATATGAAACATTGTCGTGGAGTCATCTAAACTTTCTAAAAACAACTCATAATCATAATTATCGTCCAAGAAAGCAGAATTTCCTGTATCTTGAAGATGATCTTGTAAAAATTTTTCCTACAAGTTATATAATAAATATTGTTATCATTTTGTGGTTGGTAAAATAAACTAAACTCGACCAATTGGTCCTGAATGGGTTGAAGTGTTATCGTTTGAGCCGAAACTTGGTTTACTGAATCAAAAGCGTCTATATCGGACATCGTCTATAAATTTGAATAAGACAAAACTATATCTGTTAATTACTGAATGGGGTAAGTGAAATAATTTGTATAATGAACATAAAATTAATTTTGTAATTTAGAATCAAACATCCGAAAGCAGATTAGTGGCGCAGCTAGCCGATTGTGGTGCAGTAAAATTTTGCCATTTCTTCTTAACACAAAAAAATAATGCGGAAAGAATAGGAAAGAAATATTTTTTATGTTGAAAATTGGAAAGTGGTAATTGTTGATTGTTTTATAATTTTTTAACCTTAAGGGAGCTTTACACAAGGGACAGGTCCTTGATTTTTAAGTCTTACCATTTTTTTGTTTTTTTTTTTTTTGGTTTGATATTGAAATGACTAGGCGTGTACAAATCTTCAAATATCGTATACAATTATCGGTTAATTATAAATGGTAAAGAGCTTAAAAAATTTGATGCTCATTTCGTAGAGTGGTTGCATACACAGTGAAATTCGATAAACCGGATCTATCAGTTCCACTAAAAATATCCGGTTTATCGGAATATCTGGTATTAAAATTAAAATGCTAAGATATGTTTTATGTATTTTCTTTGTCAAATAATCAAGGTGATACTTCTGAAGATGAAGATTATAAAAATTATCTTGATAAACGTAACGATAAACGTTATTATGGTAAAAGCGAGAATGAAATTATATGGGAAGCGCTTTGTAGCTATAGTGATCCGAAGCTTATTGAGAAAATTGAATCGGATTTTAAGCTATTAAAGATCACAAAGATCTTGATGATGGTATGATTATCGATGATTATTCGTTTTTATTACAATTTTAATTGGAAATAAGTGCTTGGATTAAAAATTAATATTTTTTTTTTTTGTATCTATTCTTTCCGCAACGCTATAATGCAATTCTCAATACTTTTAAATGATTAAAAACTATGACTTTGAACAAAAATATTTTTTTTCGAATGAAGCAATGTATTATATAAATTTATACTTCAATCTAATTAATATAATTGATTTATCTCACTTTTTTTGACAATTATTAATTTGTTGGAATCTTTGGAGTCTTTTCCCCAGGATGCACTAGAAATTTGGCTAAAAAAGCGTGGTCAGCTTTTCTAACCGATAAATAGTAATTTTACCATTCTTTTCGATCTCAGTAGTACTGTTCCAGCACTTTTGATTTTTTTGATAATTGTTGCCATTTTGTTAAAAAATCAAGAGTAAGAAATTTGATCCAATTTGTTTGGTTCAATTTGTCGAATGAAAATGGAAATAAAGATTCCAAGCCAATGAAAGAATACTCTGAAAGCTTGTAGGATAAATGTATTAAAAGTCCGCTCAGTATAAACTGCGGGATATTCGTTATGGTCACTACTGATATCATGTTTCACTAACATTTCTTTAAATCAGTGATACGAGGAGAATGATCTTAATTCTTAACAGAAGGAAGGTTTTGGATACTAAGGATTGTTACATTCTTTGAATAATGTAAGTGCATGGCTTTTGTAAAATTTACCAAACGTATTTTTTTCTGAATGTATTAAAGGAGGATAGGCCTGAATCTTTATTAATATAAAAATGTCGCAATATACAAATAAAAAAAATACAAATATAAAAACTGACTGGCCCACATTTCGAAGCCAGAGAATAATTTATAAAATAATATTTATCCATCATATCTCAGACACGAACATTAGTCTTTAATATTGGTCTAACATATTTTGCCGTTGACCATGATTCATATCGTCATTGTAATCATGCTCCTCATCCCGTTCTAATTTTTCTCTCGAAATTGGCTTTCAATAATCGTCTCTCGGTGGCGGCTGTGGCGGATTTGCGTAATCACATGTCATTTGACCGAGATCCGTAAATGTCAAAATCCCGAATGGTACGAAATCTAAAAAGTTAGCCAGCATTAAGTAGAAAACATTTTTAATAAAACATATATTGTATATAATACATTATATATAATGAATTTCATCGCATCGCATTCATGATTTGTAAAATTTAAAGATATTTTTATTAAAAGATTTTTATTAAAATTATTTTTAAATATAAAATCTCTTCTTTTATCAATCAAAATAAATAAATAAATGAAAATGCGCTTTTTTATTAATAAAAAATAAAAAATTGCTCTGTGTTTGTTAAAATAAAAAGTTATTTTGATCGGCTGAATATTTTAATAAACCGTCAAGTTAATGTTAACTGGCCCGATCCGCATTAATAAAGTGATAAAAAAAGTTTTTATTAACGTCAAATAACTGAAATAAATCTTTTTTTTTAATGAAATAGTAAAAAAATTTTCATATTTTAATTCAAAATTCATGTTTTTTTTAACAAAAAAAAAAATTCATATCTTTTAATAAAAAATAAATAAATATTATACACCTTTATTAATAAAAGGAAACAATGCGCTTTTTTATTAATAAAAATAAAAAATTATTTAAAAAGACCACTCTTTTTTAATTCCGCAGATGTTGATCAAGCATGGTGGCGGTACCCAAAAAATTCGCCAGATTCAGTTACCTTTTACGGCTAAACCTGGTACACTTCCTTTGTCATCACTCAAAGCGCTCACACGTGAATACCTAAAAGAGTATTCCTTCACATCTAACTTCAATTTCCCAACAAGACGATATCAAATATTTTTGCCGATTACACATTACTAAAGGATAAACTATTTGCCTTTAAAATAGAATTATTCCGAATCGCCTAAAAATAGAAAAACCAAAACCTTTATTAAACTTTTTTACAAAAATTACGTCATTTTATATACCAGTATTCAATCTGATCAACTTACTTAATAGAAGAAAATTTTAATTGAATGATACTAATAGAGAAGAAATGGAGGATCCTTCGAATTAAAAAATAGGATTTATATTTACAAGTTGACTAAAATTTAAAACAAGGTTCAAAAATTTTGCCAGAAAAAATGGATTCAATTATAGGTTAAAATTAGCAAATGGGTAAAGAAGTAATGCGTCATATTACTTATAATTGTTCAAGAATCTATCTAATCTAATTGTATCTTCTGATTCAAATAAGCGATGAAACTTCACAGCATGATCCGTCCAAAATCTCAAAGCTCCAAAATCCCGACAGTATGTCATCCCTGAAATACCATAACAGATAATCTCAAAACTTTATAATTCTAACACCCAACTAGAGGTTGGAACCGGCTAAACTCTTAACCGGTTAATTAACCGGTTAAAATCGTTCACCGGTTAATACATTTGTTAACCGGTTAATAAATTAACCGGTTAAAAATGCTGATCATGATTGTCATATTTTGATACAAAATTTTCCGATACACAATATCGGAGAATTTCTTGCAGCTTTTTAAATACATCTATTTGACATGATTTTTTACGTTAATGAAAAACATTCTTTTTTATTTTAAAATTAATAAAAAGATTATACATTTATTTAACATTAATAAAAAAGTTCACTTTAGATTTTATTTTATTTAATTTAAAATTTACAATTATGTCTGATTATGACAACTTTTCTAAATTTTTAAATTATAAAGATGTAGAAGAAACTCCTTCTGAACAATCATCTACCTCAACATCTAAAAGGTCTTCTTTTTCAACATCTGCTGACCAAAGTAATAATTATTATATATTAATATACAGTATTTTATATTGAATAATAACTTTTAAAACCGATTTTATTTTATAAATGAAATAACATTTATTTTTATTTATAAATTGCAGTATTATTTAGTTTTATATATTATGAAACGATTTTTTGTAACGTGAAATAAGAATGTACTTGATTAAATAAATAAAAGAAATATGTGGGCCAAATTCGTTCATTTATAATTAACCGGTTAATTAACCAGTTAATCATATTGCAAATTAACCGGTTAATTAACTGGTTAATCATATTGCAAATTAACCGGTTAATTAACTGGTTAATCATATTACAAATTAACCGATTAATTAACCAGTTAAGGTTTTTTTAAGACGTTCCAAACTCTTCCTATACTCTTACACTAATCCACTAACCAAACTAACTTAAAAACCTTAACAAATAGAACAAAAAATCTAAACGAATCCAGTAACCTAAGCATACCAGATGAAAATCTAAGCTTGACAAGTGTTAGCGTAATATCCTACAAGTAACATTAAGTTTCTGTATACAGTGAAGAGCTTCGTGAGCTTGTAGTTAGCGTGGTTTAGGGTTAAGATGGAATAATAATTTATGATTAAGGTTTGTTATAGCAATTTATTAGGATAGCTTGCTAGGAAAATTTATTTTTCATTACTATGTCAAAACATTATATTAGAAAATAGTATACGTGGAGTACTGGAGTAAAATTTTAATCAAAGACAACCGTGTAATAGACATAAACCTATAAGCTTGGATTTTTGATATATATACTGTATATATATATATATTACACAAAATATTCAAGAATGGTGTAACAGTTGTTCTGAAGTTTCATATTTTTAAACAAGTAGTATTTAATAGAATATAGTGCAAATTAAAATAAAAAAAATATTTTGGATTGGTCAACTGAATAACGGACCGCAGATCCTTAATGAAAATATCAAATATGAAATTATTTTTAATAGGTAAAAAACTTCTTTATTAATACATATCATATATTTAATAAAATGTATAGAATTCTATTGGAAACTTATTCATATAAATAATACTTATAAAGGGGCTAGCAGAGCCGGCCCTAACACTATGAGTCTAATTTGGTATTTATAAAAATAGATTATTCCGGAGGTTTATCAGAATCAGAAGCAGAAACTAAATTTTCCTTTTGTTTCTTCATCCGTCTAACGAGAAATAGAGTTAATAATGCAAATTTAGCTAACCAAACATAATGTATTATGTTTGACGCAGCAAGTGCTTTATCAGGTGACATTCTGACGGGCGTAAGATTGTAAATAATCATAGCACGAACTAAAACCTCAGAAAGAAGACCATATCCCCAGATAATTGTCATAAAGATAAAACCACGTCGAAAATATTGGTAAGAAACCCAATTCCTGTCCCAACTTTCATCTACCACTTCTGAATTTAAAGAACCAAAGGATCCACCTGTTGTCAAATCTTTACAAATATAGAATAATAATGGTCGCATTTTAAAGGTACCAATTTTTATCGGAATTATGCTAATCATTGCTATTATATTAAAGGGAAGGAGATTCAAACTCATAAATTTTTGTAATAGTTGAATCTTTGGATTGTCATAAAATAATGATACTATAGCACTGAAAATAAGACAGATTAATACGAGTACTCCTATAATTTCCACACGCTTTCTACCCACAAGTCCGTATATAGCGATAATAAATGGTGGGACACCCGATATGAGAAATGCCCATATTTCTTGCATAAAAATTCTGAGAACATAATAAAGAACAATCGGAAGGGCGAATTCAAGAAGTATCATTAATACGACCCTTAAAATAGTTTTTAATTTGGATTGACCAGGTACTTTATCCTGCGAGGTTGAGGAAGAAGTCGTTTGTCCACGCTCAACCGACATTTTTTTAAGTTTTTTCTTTAAAAAGTTTTTAAAGTGTAGAAAAGTAATTATAACAAAATTATTTTTTTTTTTAGATTTTTTTTAAAGTGTAGAAAGTAATTATAACAAAATATTTTTTAAAACGAAATTACTTTATTTTTTATTTTTTTGAGAAGAAAAATGACATATTTATAGAATTTTTTTTTTTTATTTGACACATCTAAATATGAGACAATTCAATGATGAAACGATAAAGTTAAGTCAAAAAAAGATCTTTACTAAAAACCAATTGTTTACATCGTGCAAAATCGTACTGCACAAATGTAGTATGATTTACAGATCCTAATTATGGTATAGATGTACAGGCACAAAATTTTGATCCGGCCCGATCAATCTATTCCCGGGCCGATCAATCTATTTTCAAAAATTTTTCGGGCCGAGGCAAACTATTTTCGGGCCGGGTAATGTAAGCCAAGATTTTCTTTAATTCTGGCCAAACTATTTATTTAATTCTGGCCGAAATTTAAATTATTATCCAAACATCATCATTTTTCCTAAAATTGTTGTTATATATTTTCAAATGTTTAATAATTTTATCTTATTAAATGTTGATATTTTAAATACTGAATGATAAATTTAGTGTAAAGTTATGTAAAATCACAAAATTAATGTGATCTATGTCACTAATTTTTTTTTAACATTTTTATTAAAAAAAGGAAAATTAAAATTGAACTTTAAAGCACTAAAATAATAAAATAATATAACTTTAAACAGTAAAAATGTAAAAAAGACAATAGTATAAAATCCTGGGTTTCAAAAATATGACTAAATGCAGACCTCTAGTCATTACTAAAAAAATATTGTTTTTACCCCATAATAACTTTCTTCATACGGTAATAAAATGTTGCTAAATCTGTGATTGTTAAGAATTGGGTACTTTAAAAAAAAGTATGTGTAAGGTTAACTTAACCGAATATGGCTATACTTAATTAGTTATATAAAAATACTTTCTTTAAAAATAAATTTATGCGTTAATTTTCTTTTTTGGGAAATGACTATCATTATCTTGTTTGTGTAATATGCACAATTTATAAAGATGTGGCAGGTGTGGCTATAAAGATTTATTATTCTTGTTTTGGAAAGATTTACAACGCGATCAAAAAAACCAAGAAAGAAATCAAGAAAGCCAAGCGATTTCTAATTTATTTTGAAACGTGAAAAGGGTTGAAAGCTCATGATATTACTTGTCGATTCGTTCTGTGAACGTGAAAATAATTATATGCAATGCACGTAATAAAGGTAATATTCTTGTTAGAATCATTTAGGATTTTTTTTAACCATTTTCGAATAATTCATTGTAATAAATAGCCGTGGCTATCTGTATGATATAATGGTCAATGGTTTTAAATTTCATATTCAATGTTACAATAAGGAGAAAACTTCTTTGGAACACTCCTGCATGTATATTTCTTACTCCCTATATCCAAGAACACAAAGCGCTTTATGGTATAATTAACTATTAAGGATGAAACTTTAAAAAAAATTTGAGTAATGTTTTACAATTTATGAGAGTAAATTAAATATTAATTTAAACTATTTATATTGATAATTAGATAACATAAATCCTCCAGCGTGTTACAGTACGATTTCCCAAATCCTTCTTTCTCGAATATACCTTTTCCTGAAGTCAATTTTCCGAATGCCAATTTCCCGAACTCCAGTTCCCCGAACACCTATTTCCCGAATCCTAATTTATGGGAATCACATGAACCGTCCAATTCCCCAAATTCTTTCTCCCGAATTATTTTATCCTAAATACTCATATCTCGAATTCCAATATTATGAATCCTGTTATCCCAAATGGACATTCTATTGAATTTAATATAAACAACTCCTGCTAAATAATCACTTTTGTGCTAAATATTAATATTTTGTACAATTTTGTATCATAAATATAATTATTAATTTTATAAACTCCTAAACTTTATTTTCTTTAGTATTTATTGATTCTAAAATTTCATTGGCCATACACGCGACGTGAGAGTGTACTTGAAGCTTCGGACAATTAAATCACAACAAAAATACAAAAAATAGTTACAAAAGATCCAAAATTTTAATTGTTATTTACACGTGTGCGGAAAAAACAGAAAATCTCGGGCAATTATATAAATTCTATTTATCCGTTATCCGGCACATTTTCCGAATACACCAGAGAAACCTATTGTTGTGTAACACTCATCTTTATATACACTAAAATGGCCATTACTTTTTAGTTCAAAATTAATACATTATGTCTGCTATTGAAATGCAGTTTTCACAGCACTTAATAGTTATTAGATAATACAGTCAATACTAGTCATCATATCGAGTTTTGAGTTTTGACTGTACAGTACATAAGCAATTTGAATATCAAAAACAAACATATCTTTGTGATAAATCTCTTACGGAATAGTGTTCCAATCCGCGGGTATCCGTCATCCGCCTATCCGTATTCGTTTAATCCATTTATCCGTATTACTAGTATCCGTTCCGTATATCCGAAAATATCTGAGGATATCCGATGGATTAAGATATTCCGCGGGTAGCTGATAGACGGATTCACTATTACAAAAGATGAAAAAATTAAAGCGATAAAAAAAATAATAAGTGAAACTTACGAACGAGAAAAAAAAATTAAACTCAAGTGGTACTGTTAATTAACAATATATGAAAGATAAAACAAAACCTGGAACTGACTGCAAACTATAATTAGTATACATGTGAAGATATTATATATAAGATATTTAAATATATTTTCAAATGCTATACGTGATGCTAATATGTCCTATATAAATTAACCAACTATTTTAACGAAAATAATATCGATGATTGTGACAAAATTGCTTCTAAAAGTGAGATTAAAGTGCGAATAATTTGAAACGCAGAAAAATAAAAATTTATTTGCTAAATTATATTACTGATAGGGTGCTCTCCCGTAAAAAAATTTGTATGATTTCAACTTTGTATTACTCTAATGATTCCTAAAAATAATTCGCTTATGAATATCATAATATATATGCAAGTATATGTATTATATTGTTTAAAGAATAAAATTCACAATTCAAGAGAGATAATTTGATAAAGTTCATGAAAATAAAATAAAATTTTATTTACTTTTTGGAAGAAATAAAATAAATACTATAACTATTAAAAATCTAAAATCTAGTTATCCATAAATCATAATTTGTTTAAACTGGGGATGAATAAATTTATTTTTCGTGGCATTAATCACCATACGTTTCATTGCTTATATGCTTACTTTCAATTAGTGATTGGTCTGTCATGGCGGCGCAAAGTTGTGAACAAATGCTGTATTTATTACAATACATCAATACAACTTTACTATACTAATAAATTTGCCAACTGTATTTACCACTTATTTACCAATACAACGTTGTATACAAGTATGCTAACATTGCACAAATTTTAAAATAAATACAACTGGCAGCTTTATCAAACCTTCTTTTTCTATAATTTTAGTTTAGCTCGGGGAGCCGTTAAAATCTCGATGATCAGACAATACAAACCCGACGCTCATTTTTGGATAATGATTGGGATAATGAATGATCAGCATTGTAAGCGTAGGGTGTTGTAAAGTTTCTGATCGTCAGTAAATCCCGTGACAAAGTGTAAATACAAAATAGTTTAATGGATTCCATATAATCAAAATGTGAAAGTAAACTATATAGCAATTTGATTTATGAGCATGATTCTAAAAACAGAAAATAAAAAGGATGGGAAGCTAAAATGTGATACTTAAAAACTAGAAATGTTGAAAATGCAAATATAAGTTGGATTGAAGTGGTTTAAACAGTGAGGTTTTAAAATAGTTTTATTTTTTTGAAGGCTAAATCACATTTAACTTATATGGCCCAGATAACCGTAGATAATCAATCCATCACAGATTGAAAAACATACAATTTTATCCATATATCCGATTACGGATGTCCGGATATCCGAAGTTAATCATAGTGTTGGCGGAACATCGGTAGAGCTGGCCGGCATTAAAAATCACGTGACTCGACCAAAATTTTCCACCCCACGTGACTTTTGTGACGCGATGGCGTAATCAGTATTCAGTTGTTTATTCATTACCTATTTCTCTCCCTTTTTTCTCTCCACTTTTTTTCACGTTAAAACATTTTTTAAAAATCCTTTAAACAATAAAATAAATTAAGTATTTAGAAAAAGCTTGAGTGTAGAGTATTGTTATAAAGCTATAGTTAATTTTTTATTTACAACAAACGCGCTTTTTTATAGATTTTGTAATATTAATTTGAATATTTTAGCTAAATGAAACAAGGTTTGAGCATTGAAGAAAGTTATTTAACAAGTATGTACATTATTTTCGTGAAAATATTGCCGTTTTTAAAAAGAAATTGAGTTGCATTTGTTTTTTTTTATTTTTGTAGTGTAATGTAAGGACTTTAGCTAAATGTAATGGGTTTAGGTAGCTTAGACAAAGTTGTTTAGCAGGTATGGAACCACCCAAATATTGATTTTTATCAAAATATCTTGAATATTTGCAATAGTATGAATATTTTGTATGGAAATTACTGTACCGTGTGCGGTTGATTTTTTCACTTTACAGCGTAATTTTGGTACTTTTGTTAAATAAAACAAGCCATTGGAGATTAAGTAAAGTTGTTAGCAGGTGTGGGATTACTTAGATATAAATTTTTATTAAATTTTTATGGAGTAATTAGCATTTTTTACAATAGTGTACTTAACTCTAAATATCAATAATATTTATTTATTTATTAAAATTAAATTTAATAAAGTGAAAAGGGTTATTTCAACCCTATAAAAAAATTGGATACGTTTTTTATAAAGTTTTCATACGATTTTTTTCCTTAGAAATAACGTATCATAATAGGATACGGAAAAATGCACAATTCCGTATCACTAAAAATATGGTTTGGATATGGAATTTGCACGGGATTCATATGGAATTTACATGATTTGATCACTGTTTTTATCACGAAATTTATACGATTTGGTCACTGAATTTACTATTTGTATTACAGTTTACTATAATTGTATTTTCATAAATCTAATTTTACTTTATTAAATTAAATAAAAAATAAAAAATAAACAAAATACAAATATATTATGAAAATTCCCTCCCTATTAAAACCACCTATTGCAACCAAAATTATCTATAAGTTCAGGTTCATTTGGAATCAAATAACCTAAAAAAACAAAAAAACAAAAAAAAGAAACAATAAGAACGTCTAACTAAATTGGAAACAAAACCCCCCCCTCATATAGTATCTGCAATCATCCAAGTCACCAAAGGTTAGCATTCCTACAAAAAAAGAAAGAGAACTCCAGAATGTCTGACCTACATAAAAGAAAAGAATTATGAAGTGTCTGATGAAAAGAAACCAAAACAACAAAATAAATCCAAAACTGACCTATAAAAAAAGAAGACTCCGAAGCAACAAAACTGTAATAACCTATAAAAGAAAAGAATCTGAACCCAACTTACAAAAAAAAAAAAGAAAATTTGAACTGACCTAAAAAAAGAAAAAATCCTGAACCATCCTACAAAAAGGAAAAGACTCCCAAACCTGTCTCTTATACACATCTAGATGTGTATAAGAGACAGATCAGAAGCAGAACTTAAATTTTCCTTTTGTTTCTTCATCCGTCTAACGAGAAATAGAGTTAATAATGCAAATTTAGCTAACCAAACATAATGTATTATGTTTGACGCAGCAAGTGCTTTATCAGGTGACATTCTGACGGGCGTAAGATTGTAAATAATCATAGCACGAACTAAAACCTCAGAAAGAAGACCATATCCCCAGATAATTGTCATAAAGATAAAACCACGTCGAAAATATTGGTAAGAAACCCAATTCCTGTCCCAACTTTCATCTACCACTTCTGAATTTAAAGAACCAAAGGATCCACCTGTTGTCAAATCTTTACAAATATAGAATAATAATGGTCGCATTTTAAAGGTACCAATTTTTATCGGAATTATGCTAATCATTGCTATTATATTAAAGGGAAGGAGATTCAAACTCATAAATTTTTGTAATAGTTGAATCTTTGGATTGTCATAAAATAATGATACTATAGCACTGAAAATAAGACAGATTAATACGAGTACTCCTATAATTTCCNATTTTTTCCGTATACATTAGTTTTTTTAAAAAATGTTCAAAAATGAATTGCTTATTAAATATACGGAATTTGTATACGGAATCTATAGAAACGTACATAAAATGTATACAAAACGTATCCTTTCCGTATACATATTTCTTATAGGGCAAGTGTATTTATTGTAAAAGTAATAAAATGATTAGCATGTTAAAGGGAAAATATCAGTAATATCAGTTTACTTTTTTTTGATTTTTTTGATTTTTTTCCTAAGATAAACGTGTGAAATAACATTGCGCCAATTAAAATTCAGACGCCACAAAATCACGTGTGGATGGAATTTTTTTGTGGTGATACTGTTGCAATTTAGCGTCTCCCGGAAAAAATGGTGATTACAATAAAATTCAAAATTTTTTTTTTTTTCCAATTATAAAGTTTAATTATCATTCCCAATACATTATATTATTATTAAATCTTGTCATGTTTTTGCCATCATTCTTCTATTTTCTAATGCCATATAATCAGTGATTTGAAATTCTGAGCAAACATTTTTTAACCATAAATGGTTTTTAGATTTTATTAAATGATTCTACTAAGTTTTAACAGCCCTTTGGCCTTAAATGCAATTAGAAATCAATAAAGATTAAAATACAATCAGAATTATACACAAAACTCTCATTATATATAAAATTATAATTAACTGTCTTTCAATAACATAAACATTTTTCATGCTCAACAACTGAATATTAAGTTATTAGTGGATTGCTAATTTTGCGATTTGAGAATTCTCCAACTGAAATTAATGGATAAACCTGTAGTATAAAAGTAATATCCATCACCCTCTGAGATAGATTGTAATTGTGATAAGCCACTTCAATTTTGACGATCTTTTTTCTAAGAAAAGATGAAAGTTCAATACAAAGTTTCATCTTTGGAAAGCATTATTGAATGATTGATGTACACAATGAATGTAACATTATCCGAAGTCACGTGTGAATCTGTAAATAAATAAATCCATTATTTTTAAAAAAAATTATCATTTAAAAAAAGTATCATATAAAATTTATTATGTTATTGCCATTAACGCTAATTTTTTAAAAAGAAGAATTTTCTGATTCGTAGGTCAGATCTAATTAGGAAATCAGGAAAAACGTGATCGGAATTTGATATAATGTCAGCTAAAATATAGAAATGATTTTTATTATATAAATTATTGTTGGGTTTGGTTTTTTATACAAATTGGATCAAATTTTATTTAATCTGATTTAATCTGTCAGTATAAAAGTCTAAAAACTTTAATTGTTCGTTAAATTTTTTTTTTTAATAATATTTTTAATTTTTATATGAATATATAATTTATTGAGAAAAAAAATAGCCCAAAACAATTTTTTTCGTTGATATCTATAAAATGATTTTACAATTTATAAATACTATGAAAATGAATTTTAATGATAGAAAATTTACATAAATTATAAATTTTTTCATGACGTAAATATTCATGCCTGTAAGTTTTCTGATTATATTTTCATGCTCACGTGTTTTTATAGTTTATTTATACCTTCCCCACTTTTTCCCATCACTGGACGTTAGTCTCCATGAGATAAAAGAGTTATTTCACGTGTCGCATAAATATCATAATTTTCATGACTCCCCGTGAAATAACTATTACATATTGTATAGTTTTTTTAAACATATTTCATCAAAAGATTTTAAAGTATTATTTAAAAAATTTATATATATTTTTGTATTCAAATTATTTATTTAATTAAAAATATACAAACAATATTATTAACGTATAATAATTTGACAAGTGATATCAATTAATTTAGTTTTTCTTAAATGGCTAAGATTTTTTTTTAAAAAAAGAATGACAATGAATATTCTTACCAAAAAAGTATTATCTTTACTTTAAAAAGGCTATATTTGGCAATGGACATTTAATAAAATGAATTTTTATTACGTATACTAATTTTTTAACCGAGTTCATTGGTTAGTACGATCATATATCAAATATCAAATAAAGTTAGGCAACATTTCACTTTTCACAGGTTTTTCGTCATGTTAACAAACAAAATAATATACAATAATAATCCTAATAAATTCTTATTGGCCTTTTACCAACTTTATTCATGCATTTTATTATAAATAACTATGCATTAGAGATCACAATACAATAATTAAACTAAATTAACTATAATTTATTACTATTATCCTTAAAGCTTTAAATATCTTTTTGTTAATAAAAATTATAAATTACGCCGAGTTCCGTAATCAAATTTAGCCGCAAAAGGTTCAAATCTAGTTGGTATATTAATGTTCTTTCCAAGATTTAAATCCATTAAATCAATTAATTTATAAGGAAATGGATGTTCAACTTCAGAAACATCATCAAGTCTTTTCATTTGTTCAGGTGTCAATCTAAAAAAAAAAAAATATTTATTTTTAATAAATTAATTTTTTTTAAGAAACAAAAAAAAAAATTCTTTTTTATTTAAATAGTATGCACTTACTTAAATTCAAGTGCTTTAAGATTTTCTTCGAGCTGATTAACTGTTTTAGCACCAATTAAAGGAGAAGTAATACCAGGTTTTTGCATGGTCCAATTCAAAGTAACCTACGTATTATAATATATATATAACATTATCAGTTTATAAAGAAAGTAAATTTTGTAATATTATATATAATTTATTACTTGAACTGGTGTTCTTCCGATCTCTTCTGAAATAGCTTTAACTTCATCCAAGATTTTCCAATTTTTTTCAGATTTCGAATGTTCTGCGATAAATCTATTACGAAATTCCGATGTTGCTTCTGAATTTTCTTTTGAATATTTTCCGGTAAGAAACCTGGTTACAAACAAAAAAAAGTTGTAAATATATATTTTAATGTATAAGAAAAAATGAAAAAAAAGAGTATCAATGGTTAATTACCCTTCTGCGACAACACCCCATGGAATGATTCCAACCTAAAATGTTATTTTATTTTATTTTTTTTTTGAAAAAAAATATTTAATTTGTTTCTTTTTATCAGTATAGGCAAACGCTTATAATACATACACCATGTTCAGCACAGGCAAGTTGTAGGTCGGTTTCCATCGTTCGCTCCAACAAATTATAACGCGTTTGAAGTCCAATGAAAGGGCTAAATACAGTTAATAGATATTTGTTAACCTAAAAGCTTATTTATTTATAAATTATTATTATCACGCATAATCTTGTACCTCCATCCACGTAATTCAGCAATAGTGTTAGAACGAGAGAGTGCCCAAGCCGGCATATCGCTTACAGCGGCATACAAAACCTATTTGTTTTATTTTAATAATATTTTAGAAATATATATATCAAATTTGAGTAAATTTTAATTAGACTTACTTTTCCACTTCGAATGACATCATCTAATGATCTCATAAATTCTTCAATTGGAGTTCGATATTCATAGAAATGAACGTATAAGATATCAACATAACTCATATTCAATCTTTTTAAACTTGCATCCAAATTTTCCACAAGACTTTTTCGATGATTTCCTCCTAAATATATTGATATTAATATATATATTTATAAGTATTTTCGATCGTGATCATCAACTAATATAACAATGATTAGTTTAGTACCAACTTACCAGAATTCGGATTGTACCTCTTATCCTTTTGCATATTAGTTACATTAGCTATAAAATAAAATAAAATAAAAAAAAATTAGAAAATTATTTAAAATCAAAAATTTAAACGATGTTACATAATAGAAAAAGTTCAACACCTGAAAATTTTGTTGCAATTACGACATCGGATCGTTTATCGGAAACATAATCCCCAAGGAAACGTTCACTCTAAATTGATTTTTTAATTATTATTTAAATATTTATCAGCTAAAAAAAAAAAAAAAAAAATTAAAGCAAAAAGTAATATTTGAGCAGATGATCATACTTACTTCACCCATGTTATAATTGCAAGCGGTGTCTAAAAGTNAAAATAAAAAAAATAGGTTTTGTATGCCAACGTTCACTCTAAATTGATTTTTAATTATTATTTAAATATTTATCAGCTAAAAAAAAAAAAAAAAAAAAAAAATTTCAAAATTAATATTGCGCAGATGATCATACTTACTTCACCCATGTTATAATTGCAAGCGGTGTCTAAAAGTAATATACATTATGATATTAAAGTATCTTCTAAACGTAGAATAACTGTAACGTATCGTGACCGTGCGAACATAAATAAATTACTTACCAAAGAAGTTTCCACCTTTTTCATAATAAAGGTCAAAAACTTTTTTCGATTCTTCATAGTTAGAACCTAATCCCTATTTATATTTTTATGTTATATATTATTTTGTTAATCGAAACCGGTTTTTTTTTCTAACAAATGAACTTACCCATGTTTCTCCGAAAGTCTTTTCATATATTAAATCAAAACAGATCATCATAAGAAATATAAGAAATTAAATTAAAAATTAAGGAATTTCCTATAATTAACGTCATAATTTTGGCCAAATTTATAATATTTATATTACCAAAGCGCCAAGACATAATGGAGAAACTCTTAATCCACTAGGGCCCAATAAAACATAATCATCAAGAGCACTGATGGGTTTGGTGGGAGATGAAGCGTCTTTAGACATTTTATCAAACAAACGAATATTTTGATGAATTTCATTTTACTTTGACACTTGGTGCTTATTTATATGTGTCTACCCTTTGCTGCTTTGCTATAAAATTTTAAATTTGTCATTATTAAAATGAATTCACCTTAGCCAGGGTTCACAAAGAATGTGATGTTGTATAATGTTTTTTTGTTGCATGATTTAATTATTAAAATCCGGGATAATGAAGACCCAAAATATACATAAAAGGAAAGGACTCGGAATTTTATGAAATAATGCCGATATTTCCTTTTCGGTTAATTCCAGCTGGCATTATGTAATTCCGGCCCTCAATGCTCATAGACGTCTTGACTTATCGGTCCTGGTTAAATTTCGATCCATAAATATTATGAAAACAACCTTAATATAGTTTAGTGAAACTTTAAATACGCACTTTAAAAAACAATTCCCAACCCCGTATCCCCGTATGACATAATTTTAATTAAATGATATTAATTCAAAAATAAATGTTCTTTATTACGTAAGGCCGTTCCAAGCTGATTCTTCGTTTAACATAACATAAGTAGAACGGTGAGAGGGGGGGGGGATACTAAAAATAATACAACTATAATAATTTCACGTGATAATTATACTGCAATTTTATTAGATGTATGATGTAATTTAAAAATGTATTAAACGAAAAATAAATAAAAATAATTAAAGTATTTTAAAATTATTTATTTGTATAATTGTATGTTAAAACTAATTACACTATTTGTCAATATAATCTATGTTTTACGGCGCTTTGAGGCACGTCCGTTAGTCTTAATCTCTCCTTTAGTATGAAAACCTTTTCTATTCTCTATACACATCTCACATAGTGGATAAATTTGTTTGAAACGCTGTTTCAAAGATTCCGGAGGTGCCACCAAACCTTCACTTTCTCCACAATAGTAACAAATTGGATAATTTCCTGATTTACGGCTTGAATAATACAATACTTCAATTGGTGAGTCACAATTGATACGTGTTCGTACAAACACTACTTCTTTCAAGTAGTGATCATCAGGAAAAATTGGTGCACCGCAGGAGTATGAATATGACTCTAGTACTTGTTGAAAATCTTGTTGTTCGTCACTATTCAAGAATTTGTCACTATACACACAGCGACGCTTTTTACAATCTTCACAATCAATATAACCACGGATTTTCCCTACAACTAGAATAGATTTTGGAATAGGTTCTGCGTTCGCCTGTGATTGCATATATGTTGGTCTATATTCTTCGGTAGTTTCAGTTCCATAGACACTTTGAAAAGCCGCGTAATGGTCAGTATTCTCTATTTTTTAAAAGGGAGTTTATATGTTGAATTACATTAAACTTATGAAATAACAATTGATATTAAACATACAAAATAATAATTAATAGATACCTTGCGAAGGGATCGGATCTGGAAGAAAACTCAAATCATGAAATTCTTGTGAAGGAAGACGAATTGGTTTACAATATGGACAAGTAGGATTATTGCACTTTTTTATCTTAATGTCAATGGAGTATATTAGGGGGGATAATAATATCTTTGGCAATTCTGCTTAAAATATTTTAAATGAATTTCACTATAGTCATCACAAAACCTGAAAACTATAGGCGCGCGCATGGCAATGAGTATCCATAAATTCAATCAATGCAGAATGACGACGTATTTGCGATTGTGTGGTTTCGTCAATTTTCAAAGTGGGGTCTATAACAAAAATTGACTTCTCAAAATAATAAATAATATTAATATCAATTTGCATTTCAACAGATAGAATTTCATGGTGTATATAGTATTAAATTTTGTGGTTATAAAAGTTTAATTCAATAATAATATTTATTATCATACGAAATTGATTATTACCTCAAATAATTTAGTAATTATTTCTTCACTTGCTGATCCATGACATTTGAATTTCTTATCTTTTAATACTAGCCGTTCTGTTCGATTATTTAACATGTCTTGAATATTTGCTATACTCTCTATTAATTCAGAATTTAATTCATTAAATTCTTGAGCCTTTTTACGTATATCATCTAAGGTATTTGCCGTTTCAAACAAAGCTTCGGATTCAGGACTCATCTGATTACGCTTAAGTGCTACACCTTGTAAACCCAAATTCAAGATACTCATAATACGTTCAGCTGGATTTGTCCAGCTATGATTGGGCGCAGTGCGAACTGCAATGAGCATGTCAAAATCCCCCTGTAGAAAAAGAGCAATCAATGCAATCTGCACAGATCCATAATTGCATCGATGATCCGGCCCTCCATCAGTATAAAGGCATAGTATTGGTGGCGTTACTTGATGTTCATATTGGATATTAAGTGCATTTAAAAACTCAGTTGAATGTCTGATGGCAGAACTTGGCTCAAAGGTTGTATCTTTATAAGATACAAAAACTTGACCATCATAAAATGATCCAAAAATATCCTCAGGGATTGATATGAAAAACGTAACTGATGGTGTTAAAGATAGCTTTGTGAAGTCATGATCTGCAGCAGCCAATGTACTATTTTGATCCACCATAGAGCGCCGGTTTCGTACACCTGTAGAAACTGCAATATCTTCTCCAATAGGAACTTTATGTTTGTCATCTGCAGAAATCAAACAAGTCCACTGATGGTACTTAATGCAAAATTCTCTAAGATACCGGAAAAATGCTGCACAATAATGTGCATCATCACTATTTTTCCGAAGCAACCGACCTTGTACCTTAAATTTTACGTTGAATCGACCAGTGTGATGTATAGATCGTGTTGCAATAGCATTTGTAGGGCAAAACTGTAGGCGGATCCATTCTTCTGATGGAATATGAATAGTAAAAGGAAGAGGATTACCATGGATGATATATAATTTTTCCATTATTATTTCACGAAGATCACGAACAGATAAGGCTAATGGCATGTATAGAATAGTTTCATGTCTCCGTTCATCTACTGCAAGCAAGTTCTATTATTAATTCCAAATAAAATAATTTTATTATTTTTAGTGAATTAGAACACTTTATAACAAATTAAACAATAGAAAGTCCAACCTGTTCATTGAAATATGCTTCTGTTTCATCCCAAAATATATTAAATTTTGTTCCATCAAAACCATTATTTGTTCGCAAATCAGATATAATGGTGGGATCTGCCAAAGTTAACATCAATCGTAATCTCTCTTCTACTTCACGACTGATAGAATTTGAAGATACGGCAGCATTACCAGTGAGATCAAAATGAAGCATACGTAGTACAGCTGGTGTAACTTTCTGAATGTACGAATACTATAAAAATTATTATGAGTGAGATAAAATAATATATTTGTTAAACATCTATTGCATTATTTTTACCTTATTAAGCACATTCTTTTGCATTTGTCGTGTAAAATAATGAGGTAAACCTTCGTGAATCCTAGCAAGCATTCGTACTTTCAACGTTTCATTTTGTTCATCATTAAATTCTTCAGCTTCCGGAATTTTCCATACAAAATTAATGGTTCCCAAATGACTGCCTTGATGATACCTAAAAATGATAAATAATTATTATATAAATTTATAATGTAAATAAATTAATATAATGTTATAGATTTATATTTGAACCTATATATGCCTATTGGAAACATGAGCTGCAATTCTTTTATAAATCAGTATCTTTTCATAACATCATTTGGAAGATATTGCTGAATGTTAACATGTTCATAAACTTGTTTTTCAAATAAAAGATTGTTCAGTTGTTTATATTTATCTTTGAGGTTATCACGTTTACAAGCAGCAGTCCGATACATAATACAGTTATTTTCAGGACCGCGAGCACTTTCATCACAATGGTGATGCTTGGTCATAATAATAGTAGCTTCATTTAGATACTGAACATATTTTTCCAGAATTCCAATTAGCGAAAGAATTGCTGGAACTACTTGATTCCATATATCATTACTTGCCCATGGTTGACTAATAGATAATCCAAGAAAACTTGAAAGTTGAAGAAGTTTATGTTGTGACAATTGAATTTTTTTATGATGACCGGAATGGTAATATTGGTTATATGTATCACCATCTTGATAGGTTTTCAGTTGTGTGAAAAGGATAGGCAAGTGACATGAACGTGCATTTAATGTGGAGTGATGTGGATCAATATACCAGATTGCATCCTTAATACGATTTACAAATATTTTGCCAATCGTATCGTGCACACCACCCATCCAGCCAACTTTTAGATCTTGAAGAAGTTCGATAATTTCATTATAAAGTTGATCACAATTATTATATTCAGTAATACGTTGAGGAAGTAAAAGTTTTCTTGAATTTTGCATTAAAATGCTAAAAGCACTTTCTCTATTTTGAGTCGGAATAGGAATATCTTGTGTATTTAAATTTGACTCAACAAAACAAAATTTAACTCGCAAAAACCCTAAAACTTCTAGTATTTTTAAGTCTCCTTTTAGTCCATTATCAACTTTTCGCCAGTTTTCAGACTTTTCTTGTCTAATAAAAACTTTAACCTCCCTATCGTTATATTGTCCTAATGTTATTGCATCAAAAAGGTCAGAAAATTTATTATCTATGGCTTCTATACTCACTACACGTTCAGAAATAACACACTTAATACTTTCATTAACTTGAACCAAAAGATAAAGCATATTTTGCACAAATATTTTACTGTAAAAGACTAATTAAAAGCATCCGCGTTTTACATAAAAAATCGCGAAAATATATTTAAATTTTGTAGATCTATATCTATTTTGTAAATATCACGAGGGGCTTTCTTTAAAAAAGTATTTTTTATTTTTTATTTTTAAATCCACGTGAACTAGATTACAGAAAGATAGACAAGAACAAAAGATAAAACAAAAGTCAAACGCTATCTAATACTATGCTATAATCAAACCGCCCGAGGATGGCGTCACTCTGGTACAAAAAAAGAAACAAGGGTGGGTCCCAATTGCGACACCAATCCCAAAGAAACCAAAGAACAGACTGAAGGACTAAGTTCTAGGTGGATTATATGAGTCTAACAAGGATTGAATAGGTGAAAACTGGTCTAAATTAAACAAGAAACTGTCTCTATATGACTCCCAAGTACCACTATGTAGAAAATTACAAGTCGTCCATCTTATACAAGCGGACACGTCAATATTGACTAATTGTTTAAAATAAGGTAGGACTTTATTATGGTAGTAACGAGTATATTGGCGGCGGCGTTGAAATGGAGCTATAAGAGGCGTCTCATCTGCTGATAAAGGTGGTTGTAGGCGAGAAGGTGATTTATTCTTTCGGTAATTTTTCTTCTTTTTAAGCGTGATATCCAGGCTTTTTTCCCACCGTTTAAATGAGCGGGAATGTGATGACCAGGTTATGGTAGTTAATTCAGAAATAAATTCAGATACAAATCGAATTAAAAATCGTGATCGTTCATTCTTTTTACTAAAATAATTATCGAAAAATACTGCAAGATCTCGAGGGATCAAATGATGCAGTAATAAAATCCACGGTTGTTCGCGCGGAATACGGATCAAAGTAGTAGGATCAGCCTGCCGTGCTGTGTCTAAAATGTTGGGAAGTAACTTGAACATGTTTGAATTATTGATTCTACATTCAATATCGAATGAGAAGCTGCTAGTATGTTCGTCCTTAATGAGGTCAATTAATTTTTGTTTGAATTTTGATAAAAGTGGTTCGATGGCGCTTCGATGAGCAGGGCATAAGCCTATATGTGAATTAGTGTCTTCATCGAAAGAACATTCAGTACAATTAATTCGTCCAAGAGGGTAAAGATCTGGATAATTGCGTTGTAGTATATTACCAGTAGGGTGGTTGAAAGTAGATTTTTTAATTTTAGACGATTTAATATTTCGTAATTTCGTTGATGTAGGTGTATCCGTTGGATTAAAATTGATCCATTGTTTGGTATAATGCCAATCTATATCTCCATGTGTAATTTGATGATTAATAGGAGACAATGAACTATTGTTCACGGCCATGTTAAAAATTCGCGATTGAATAGGTGTATCACTCCATTTTCGTATGTTGCGGTCGATTATATATATATGGTTATAATTGAATAAAGCCAACGAGCTTTGTTGAAAGAATTTGTGGTTTATCAGTATCGGGTCATCCGATATTCGACCTTTTTTAGCTAGAGCGTCAGCTTGATCATTGCCTTTGTTGTTACTGTGTCCTTTGACTTTAACGAGGTGTACCGTTAAGTGGTGATGGGAAATTAACCAAAAGATAAAATCCCAAATTAAAAAATTGTTTTGTTTGAGTCTACGACGTGGACTAATAGTAGGTGAAAGTAATTTTTGATTAAAAATATCTATACAATTTTGTGAATCTGTATATATATGACAGGTGGCATGAAAAGGTAAAACTAATAAAATTGTTAAAATAGCTAAACTTTCACTCTTAAACGAGGAAGGAAAAAATATAGTTGAACCATTAAAAGATAATTGTGGTATTGATGGGTTGGTTTGTAGCCATCCAAAACCAGATTTACTGTTGATTGTACCTATATTGGAAACGGAACCATCTGAATAAAATTCAAAGTTAGTAAAGGGTAAGAATTTTTTAGCTATGTCTATAAGGGATGATTTGATGAAGTCTTTACATAAAAGGGCAGATTGTATGGGTAAAGTTAATTGTTTAATGATATCATCATTATCAGATGTTTGTGAATTAGCGGACAATGATGTGTGAACAGGAGTGATAGTATTAATATTATGTTGAGCTAAATATATACTATGTGCGCTGTATCTAATAAAATGTAATGGTTTGGTACTAACAAAATATTTTTTCAAAAGGAGGTTTGCATATCTTTTATGTACTTGATTTGAATGGTGAAATATATTAAAAACTGATAAACGATTTATACGAATAGAAATTGTACATTTAATACGTGCGTCTTGCAAGACTAAACTATAATCGTTTAAATGGCAACCCATACAAGGGATTAAAATTAAAGGTGATGATCGTGATGATTGAAAGGAGGGATCATTCACTAATAAGGAGTTATTGATAGGTATATAATGTTCCATAGTACTAATAGAACTATGTGTTTCAGTATCTTGTAGATATGTTTTTCCAATAACACAATTTTGTATACTAGCATTCCAATGGTATGTCCATTCATTATATTTTTTATGACTACCTAATGAAAGTTCCGGGATATTTTGTAAACGCGTAGGAATGGAGTAATTGTCAGTGAGCGGGTACGTTAACATACGGTAATTACTTAAAGTGAAATCATTTTCTAATAGATTAAACCACTTTGGTTTAGGTTCTTTAAAGTTGTTGTTGTTAAGTCTTTTAACTTCATTCCAAGTTAAAAGGTAGTTGCCATCAGGCGAAACAAGTTGGTCGAGATACATTATTCGTTTATTACGTAAAGATTTATAATCATTTGACGATAAGTTCGGTAGATAATCCACTATAGGTGTATATCCTCCCATGATACCATAACTAACAGTAAGGTCTAGGTGAATTTGATATTGTTCTATCAACGCTAGACTTTTTGATAAATAACTAGGTGTTGAAATTTTTTCTATATATTTATTAATATCTTGAGGTATACCCGGGTACCATAATTCTTGTGTTAATATATCCAATTTTTGTATTGCTATCGGTCTTAAAGTATCAGTATTGAATAAGGCCAATAATGAATTAGTTTGTGACTTAACTAATAGATCCAGTAAATTATCGATATGGGGAAACATATTATTATAAATAATGTTATCCGCCGTATTTAGCGGTAACGAAAAAAAAATTTTGAACAATTTTTTAAGTGGTGCCACTAGTTTTTGAGCCTGTGTGTAATTTAAAATAGTATGTTGGAAAAGATATTCCAACTTCGGAAATATAACTCTATTAATAATATATATGCCGTGTGAATGTGTGATTTTTTTGTTTCTCATTGTGATAACGTGAGCCATGATGATAGAGCGTGCTTTAGTTAGAGTTTGATGATGTCTATCTAAAGGATTAATGTATAAACCTAAAATTCTCGTGCCCTTATATTTGGGAACTATAGCTACATCCGTTTGTCGTCCATTGATCGTAAGTTGAGTACTTTTGATGTTATTAGCTAATTTTTGATTCGTTAGAATCTTATATTTGTCAATATTCACTTTGATCTTTGCCATGTCATAAAATGAATGTGCAATATCTAGTTTCAATTCTAGTTTTTCTAAAGATGGACTGAACCAAGTGGTGTCATCAAGGTATCCTACTAATGATAACTCATAACTATGAGTAATATCTAAATGTTTTTGGTATATATTTTTAATTTTTATTGTGTCACATTTATACGCTAGGTCTGATTGTTTGTTGATGTGACTGAATAGGGGGTCGTAGTAAATATTCCATAGTAGCGGTGATATAACTTCACCTTGATCTATACCTTGTAAGACCTTATATGGTGCTAAATTACCATTTGGTAGGATGATAGAATTATATCTATTAGAAAATAAATTGATAATAAAAGTTATGATTTTTGCAGGAATTTTAATATGTTGTAGTGCTAGTTGTAATAGCGCTATATCTACTCTATCATAAGCTTTTGATAGGTCTTGTATTGCTATCCATAATGGGTTTTTGTATATTCTTGCATGTTCGATTAAATGTTGGATTTGGAAAAGTGGTTCTAAGCATGATTGACCTAGAATGCCAGCTCGATTATTGAACTGTAGGATGTTGTATTTTGCTAGTGTTTGATTTAATCTTTGCGAAAAAACTGAAACCATCAGTTTTCTAGGAGTTTCTAAGAGCGTAATTGGACGAGTGTTTGTGAGATTACTATCCCAATCATGTGGTTTTGGTATAGGGAATAGTAAAGCATCACGCCATTTTGATGGTATTGTATCTAAGTGAATACATAGATTAAAAATAAGAGTTAAAAGTGCGAGCACATCTGGATGGAGATGTTTCAAATCTTCGTAGGTGATTTGTGATGGACCAGGGGCCTTGTTTGTAGGGGAATTTTTAAGGATATTCATTACATCAGTAACCTCTATTTTTTGTTGGAGCAAAATCCAGCAATTGTTATTTATGGAGTTGTTACTAGGATCGTAAATGTCGCGCCACGGCGTTGGTAAGTCGTTAAACGAATTATAAATCAATGGGTTTTCGTGTTTTCCTATATTTTGATAGTGTTTGATGGCTTCTTTTTGTATAATTTTTGGATTGTTAGTAAATATAATTTGATCGTTATCATCTTTAAAAATAAGCCGATCCAAAGTGATTTGTCTAGGTTTACGCTGTAATATGGAATTGATCATTCTTGTTTGATTGGTAGATAGATCAAAGTTTCTTTGGTTAATGAAATGGTCAATTCTTTCTACTTTCCATTGTGATAATAAGTCATCCTTCTTTTGTTTTAAATGATTATATAATTTGTAAATTTCAGTTTTTTGTGCATAAAAAATTTCTTTTGTAATATAATGTCTTAAAATTATATCGTGATCATTTGATTTAGCGATCTGATTGATTTGATCACGATTCTTTAAAAAAGTACATTATCACTGATATATAAAATAATCAATAAAATATCATCACATGACTGAAATGTCGCAATTCTATTGGTCACGTATAATGTATAATATTCGTCTTAAATTTGCTAAAATAGGGGGGGGTTATGTTAAACGAAGAATCAACTTGGAACAGCCTAAACAAACCATTCTATTACATAATAAAAATGGGCGAAGTAAATGCCATACCGATTAATGTTGCACAAAATTGGTTAATATGAAAATGATCTGCATGTGACATTTCCGGTGACTTTTATAAAAAAATTTTTAGTCGACAATATTTCTTTCCTATATGATGATGTTTTAAAGAACAAAACGTAAATTTATAATGAAAGAGTGCAATTTTTGTAATGTTCAAGAAAAATATCGAGAAAAAATATATAACTACTGAAAAAACTTAATAAATTTACAATTGTTTTTAATAAATCTCGATATAGTGGTCATTGATCTGCCATGGCGTAATATTTTGTTACACCTAACTGCTTATTTAATCAAAGTTAATAAAATGTCGATCACGAAACTGAACCTTCTTTTTCTACAAATTTCTTAGTTTGTAAAAAGATAATATAAGATTACATTATGTCTAATATTCGAAAAGAAGTAGTTAATGCAGCAATTAATAGAGCATTTTCATTAATAGATACTGCTATTCATAATAATATACATAAACATTTTGAATTTAAAAAACAAACACTTCTTGCTGATAATTCTCTTACAGTAGATGAAAAAACTGAAGCAATAAAAAAAATAACTGAAACTTATGACAGAGATAAAGTTTTTAATAATTCAGGAACAAAAAGAATTTGTGAGAATTGTAATCAAGAATGTTTAGCTACATTATTTTGTGAATATTGTGTTCGAAATTATTTAAAAGCAAATTTTTCAAATTGGACGTCTGGAAATGATAATATTGATAATTTAATACAAAAATGTCAATCAGAAACACTCATCCCGAAACAAATAATTGAATGGATACCATATAATAATTTACAAAATCTTGAATACCTAACAGAAGGTGGATTCTCTAAAATTTATACAGCAAGTTGGATTGATGGATATTATATTGAATGGAATTCTAAAAAACAACAATTAAAAAGATTTGGAAAACAAAAAGTAATACTTAAAAAATTAGAAAATGTTGAAAATGCAAATCAAAGTTGGTTTGAAGAGGTTTGTATTTCAAAAATGTATAATTAGAAAGTCCTTAATATAAATTTTTTTTAAAAATTGTTTTTTTTTATAGGCTAAATCACACTTAACTATAAGCAATAAATGGCCACTTATTGTTAACTGTTATGGCTTAACACAAGATCCATCAAATGGAAATTTCATGCTTGTATTAAATGAAATGGATGTAAATTTAAGAGAATATTTACAGCAAAATCTTAATCAACTTACATGGAAAGAAAGGATTCAAATTGCTGTTCGTATAATTTATGCACTTGATGATATTCATAAAGAGAATGCAATTCATAGAGATTTACATTCTGGAAACATATTACATTCTGCAAGAAGTTATAGGTTCTTTATTAGTGATCTTGGATTTTGTGGCCCTGCAGATAAACCATTAAAAAGTATATATGGAAATCTTCCTTATATAGCACCTGAGGTTATAGCTGGAAAACAGGCTACAAAAGCATCTGATATTTATAGTTTTGCTATGCTTATGTGGGAAATTTCATCTGGACAACCACCATTTTTTAATTGCAAACATGATTATGATCTTATATTGAATATTATTAATGGTATAAGACCAAGAATAGTATCAGGAACTCCTTTAGAATATGAAAGTTTAATGAAACAATGTTGGGATGCTGATCCATTAAAAAGACCTGATGCTCATACACTGCATATTAAATTGAGAGAAATTAATTTATATTATCAAAAAAAATCAAATGAACCAACTCAATTGGAAATAAATAAAAATTTTGAAACAAATAAAACAAGTAGTTTTAAAACAAACTACGCAAGTAGCAAATTATCTACAAGTAAAGTTCATCAATTTGGATTTTTTCCTGAACCGAAAAATGCAACAGAAGGTATTAATTATCATATACTTAACATTATTTATAAAATTTAAAATGTATTAATATTGTAAAATTTATATTTTTTCAAATTCTCAATTATAATAGAAGAACAAGAAGGTATGAATGAACAATTTTTATTTGAAAGTTATTTACTTATAATATCTAATGATTTTAGTTCTTTGTAGCATTTTATAGTAAATCATATGATGTCTTTCAAATTCCTGATAATAGTAAGTGTCTATTATGATATGATATTCACTAATCATTTTTACTAATTGAATTTTGCTTTATAGTTGATGATTTTAATAATTCAAGTTATTGGAAAAATAATAGTACATCAAAAATGAGTAGTATTATTAAAGGTACTAATTTTACTAATATTAGATCTTTTAAAATTACAAATAAGGTATTAATTTATATCTTAAACTTTTTTAGCTAATAGTAAAGACGCTCAAAATGATCATGAAATTGAAACAATGCAACAACAGATTAAGAATATCAATCTTAAAGGTATTTACATATCAAATCATATCAATTCAATAATATCATAATTTCTAATTTATTTATCTTACAGACGAAAATGAAATACATAATAATCCAAATCTTCATTCAGAAGAACAAGATGAATCGGAAATTCCTGATAGTATTTAATATTTTAAATTTTATATGATGTTAAATTACTAAATTTTTATAGATTTTGGTTTCTTTGAATTTATTTTATATTTTTATATTTTTTTCTGAATAGTTTAAACACTGAGATTAGAGTAGCAAGATAAAATACTTAGCAATGTTTCTTAGTTTGTAATTTAAATTATTCATTCAATTTAGTTATCATATAAATTAACTTTAAATAAATTTATTTCTTTATGCAATACTTATAAAATTTAAAATCAAAGTCAATTCAGTAGTCTATAATATGTTCTTTTGACATAAATATAAATTGTTTGATGAAATTGACTAAACTGTATCAATGTTTAAAATTTATGATTCACAACGATATGTACTAATATAAATTTTTACAATGAGCCCTTAAATTCATCATCCCAGTAAATAGTTTTTGTATAAATTTGTACCAAATGGGCTCATCCATATATAATTGGAAGGTTACTCCTTTTAATAAGGAACAGTCAGAGGTTAGTAAATTGGTAAAAATAACTGAATAATTAGTGAACATTAATTAATTTTTGTTTTATTTTAGTGTGAGTTTTGGTCTAGATCTCCTACTCCTACAATTAATTAAGAAAATCTGAAAATACTATACAAACAAGGATTTATTAATCCAATTCCCATTCATTTTCAAAATAAAACTCAGATCTTTTGGGATTCATTTCAGGAGGCAATGCATATTAACAAAAATGGATTTGATGGAAAATCTCGTATTTTATCAATTATCGCTAAAAAATTTACTTACGATGAAATCAAAAGTCAATTGAATGTAAATTGAAATTACATTAACTGGCTAGTTGATTGTTAATAATTTCTAATATCAATTTTTAGGTATCAAATGATGCAATTCGTTATGCACAAAATCATGCGGGTATATAGCAAATATGTATTGTATGGTTAGCTTTGTATGTATTGTATTATCAAAACTTTTTAATGTATGTATAGTCTTTTTCCAATTATGTATGTATTGTATGATAAATGTGGTAATTTCATGTATTATTTGATTTAAGGATAACTTCTTAGCACCATATCGTGGGTCAAGTCCAATACTTTTGCCTTCTTGCTACACTTTTTATTACCAAATTTAACTATTTACACATTTTTCATGTACTGGCTAAAACAATTCAACGCGTATTATTATAATATTTTCTTTTTATTTAAAAATAAATATTTTTACCATGTTTATTACTATAATTTTTCATTTAAAAAAAACAAATATAAATATTTCTACGTGGTTTTATTACTACAATCTTCTCTTTCTTTCATTTAAAATATTTCTATTACGTTTATTACTATATCTAAAGTAAATCCTGTTATTCTTTACTATTCCTAATGACAAAACTATATCTGAAAATGAAATTTAATTCCTTGAGTCATCATCTATGAATATAAGGAACAGTTATTTTATTTATAATAAAAATACTTAAATTTTTTTTTGTAAATTCTAATATTATGTATGGCAAAAATAAGTATACCATACATCATTTTTAATATCCATACATGTATGGGCACAATCAAAGCATACATAAGCATACAATACATACAACGTTAAGCATACACTACAAGTTTTATAATTACCTAAATCATGCTCATGTACATGGTGTTGGTGGCCAAGTTTGGGATAAACCTGTAATAACACGTGAAAAACTATCAATTGAAATGCAAGAACAATTGCAGGCTTTTTTAATGGATAAAGCAAATGTTGTAATGAGTTCATATAAAACAGACATAACAACTAATGAACCTGTGCATTATCTCAAGCAAACAAAAACTGCACTTTGGAAAAAATATCATGAACAATATCCTGATGGAGTTCAACGAACTACATTTTTCACTAAGCTAGAAGGAAATAAATATATTTATCATGAAAATTTAGGTGGATTGTGTTTAACTTGTCAAAAATATGGATATGAAATTTTTTCAGATCTTTACTGAATATATTAACAAGTATATTATGCAATCTTTTATACAGGTATTTATTTATTTGATTTATTGAACTTTAAATACGAAATACTAATTATAAGATCTCTATCTTTTTAACATTGGAAACAATTATTAGCACATTGTGAAAATCTGAAAAGATTCTTGAAATGTGATTATAAGCAACATTTTCATGTAACTTCAAATGGCATTGCTTTCCATGATCTATGTATAAACCATTGTTTACTTTATGCTTTTAACCAGTGCACAGAATCTCACACATTTACATGTAATAAATGCCAAGAATTCTTCAACTTTTTTGCTGATATTGAAACTCATAGTAATGAAACAAATTATAATGATCTTCAAGATATGAAGGAACATTTGTTATATTATCTCACACATCAAACAAGAAAAGTGCCCAATTTAATGCCAATTTGTTAGCATTAAACGAAAAGACTGCTCTTATTCTTGTTGATTACAAAATAAAAATTTTGCCAAAAACTGTTTGGAAGACAAAAAGTGATTGGTTTGGCAAAAAGGGCTGGTCATTACATTCTGTTTTAGTATATACAATAACAATACCTAATTCAACCAAACTTCAAGTTTAAGCATTTGACCACTAGTCTCCAGATACCCGACAAGATTTTTGGTTTACAGCCTCTTCCTTACATGCTATTCTTGAAACATTAGATTCACAACCAGAATCTGTTATTATAATGTCTGATAATGGTAGTCATTACCATAATGCAGATTTAATGATGATTATGGCTTTCTGCTGGCCAAAATGGTATAATGTAAAAGTCAAAAATGGCCATAGACTCACACCACACACAGGTAAATCAAAATCAATTATTTATACTTTATATATGTATGGCAATGGTCGGTCATGGTCAGTCATCGGTCAGTCATAACCGGTCAAGAACCTTTGACCGACCAACCGTTCTGACCGACTGCTATGGACCAACCGCCTGACTGACTGTTTGACCGACCGTTTGATCGATAATGTTTTCACAATGTTTTTATTAGGGCAATTAAAAAAATGTGCAAAAACTTTTTTTTAATAAAACATAATTAAAAAAATGTTGCGAAAAACGTTTTTTTAATTTAATTACTAATAAAAAACGTCTTCGCCATGCTGTTTATGAATATGAATTGAGATTAATAGAAGAAAAGAAAAAGGAAGAAGCAGAAATAGTGAAAGATATAAATTTTGAATTTATTAGAATTTTGGGAAAAATAGAGAGTGGGAATTATTAAGGGGCGTATATAATCATAATTTTAATAAAATCTCAAAAAGAAAGGATTATAAAAAAGCGATAAAAAATTTGTGGTATTACGAACATATTAGATTAAAAAAATATGGAAAAAAGATGCGAAACGATATACGAAATCGAAAAAGAAAGAGGTCTAATGAAAAAGGATTTAAAGAAAAGGAAAAGGCAAGTAGAGAAGGAGTCAATAGGAGATTTTGAAGAGGATATAAATAACAATAAAAATAACAAAAAATCTGAAAAAAACAAATGAAAAGGAAATAAATGAAAAAAAATTAATCAAAAATTTAAAGATAGTAACGAAGTATAGAATGATAGGAACAATAACAGAAGGGAATTCGATTAAAAATTATTGGAGTATGATAGTTAAAATAGTTTAGTTGATATTTTAGTCTGGGTTATAAGTTATTTTATTTAGAATTAGATTAGATTGAACTTGGTTTTAGAGGGTATTATAATTTAATTTATAATATTTTCCAGGTGTTTAAATAATTATGTAATCAATTGTATAATTGTTCTTAATTAAAAACGCGTTACTACTTTAAAAAAAAAAAAAAAAAAAATTCGAAATTAATTTAAAAATTCTTTAACACAAAGTCACAAACGTATCTATTTTTTCTACTTTTATAAGTAATAATCGTTAAATTTTAATATTTGTTTAGATTATTTTTTATACAATAAATACAGTTAGAAAAATTTTATTGGATAATGGATATACAGTCTATCGAGTAGTCGAGTAGTCTAATGACCATATGTCCCGAATCTATAAAGTATAACAGTATAGCTGATGTGGTATTAAAAATTTCCATACTCCAGTACTCAGAGTATAGTTAATTTGCAACTATACTGTATAGATTTTCGTCAACTATACAACATCGGAGGTTGGATTCATTGATAAAAACGACAAAACCGTTTAGATAAATGATAACGAAGCAAAATCAATGTTCGGAGGAATTGATGCCATATCCGCCTACTTTTATATAGCTGAAGAAGTTGAAAGGTTGGATAATTATGTTAAAAATTAAGTAGAAAAAGTACAAGTTCCTGAATCAATTGGAATTGGAATGGGAATAAAAATTTCTACAATGAAGTTTCAAAAAAGTCAAGATATTAAGTTAAAATAACTTTGAATAAAATGCTCAAAAATACTTTAACGATTCCAGTAGCTGTTTTACATATTCATTATAGACCAGTATCCTGGCTACGTACAAGAAATATTCTTCTTGATGTTACCCATTAAAGATAGAAAAGTCATCGAAAGTGAATTTGAAGTTATTAAAACCGAAAAGAAAAATTAAAGTCAAGGGTGAGAATGAATTTGAAGTTATTAAGACCGAGAAGAAAAAATTAAAGTTAAAAGGGAGTTTAGTGAATTTGTCGAGACTGAAGAAAAAAAAACAGGAAGTCAAAAGAAAATAAAATCGAAGATAACAGATAATGTATGAAAACGATAAGATTATGGAATGAAAATGAAGGAATCGAGTGTAAAAAAATCATTTACTGTAAAGAAGATATGAAGATAAAAATGCGACCCTTTACCCGTTTACTCGGATAATAGCAAACAGGTAAAAGTGAGTAATACCTGCTTTGTATCCGTTTTTATGTTACTGTAATGCAACCCGGCGGGTAATTACTCCAACCACTCCAACCGAAAATTAATTTTGCCAGAGTTATGTTACAGCAACTCGGCTAGTTGGGTTATTAGAAAAGAAAATAACACGGGTGTACTTTAATTAAATTTTAATATAACATAATTAAATTATACTTTTATATACTACGCCATCATATATATATATCACGTGATATATATCTTCTCCTAATAGCTGTA